TTGTAAAGAAATGAATGTATTAATTTTACCTTGTTTCATGTACTTCTTTGAGAGAAAAAAAAATAAAAAACTCTTCCTCAATTGGATGTACTATACAAACTTCTGCATCGGCATAGTTTCATTATACGTATAGATAGCCTAAGCGGGATTGTTCGATTCTCATACACATGAATCGGTGATTTACTCCCTTCCGACCAAATTTGGTACTTGAATGCTTCTGTTGATCAATCAAATGACGAACAGACGTTATGACATCATAATCCAGGGAGCACGCAAGTGCTTCCCCACCACCCGAAGCGGAAGAAGGACCCAAAGGGAGTCCATTTAACAGAAAAAAATTGAGGGGAAGGTAGAAAATAATTAAAAAAAAAGAAAAGGAGAGATAATGTATCCCAGCATAGTGGTTACCATCTTACCACAACAACTGCATTAGCGTGGTAATCATTATTGTCCGCTGTCATGTCATTACACTGCGTTGTTATTTACCATACATACGTCCGTACAGAACAACGAACATTTCTGGTTTTATGGTGGCCTGTACGTCAGCGCACAACAACCCTATCATAAGTACAACACTTCAGAGATAATCTGGTAGTTTAATTAAAATCATTGCTTAGCCACATATGTCTTTGTAATGTAAAGGTCGGGGATATAGAACACCTTGAAAGTAAATTAAAACATATATTCTCTAAACACCAATTGGGTAGTGTATTTTAACTTCAGACGACGGGTTGTCACGATTTGATCTTCAGGAGACCACTTGACGAAAACAGAAATTTTCCTCGTTGCTAAAGAACTTTGATTAATGGCCTACTACATCATCACTCAGAGGTGACTCAGGTACCGGTCGTACCGCATAGACATCAGCTTTGGCGTCCGGACTGTCCGAAGCCACAGTGCGCAAGGAGGGAAAAAGACGAAACGGCAAAAAAAAAAAAAAACTGAAACTAATAATTACAAGGCAAACTGAGTCGTTCCCAACTGGATGGAACGTTGCGCCTCCTGAGCCGGGGTCCTCGTTAGGAAACTGTAATCTTCTACCTGTTAAGCCAATGAGCCTACGATTACAAATTACCATTGGTGCTGCGAATTACTCAATTATGTTACACAGCTATCGCTCCCCAACAGAGGGTATTCAAGTTTTTCTTTCAATGGGCTGGAATGGGTCGGGCAAGGCGTTTCAGTGTTGATAGGTAAGTATTTGGGAGCTAAAAACGGATTGTGTAACGTGGAGTAATATTGTAATTTGGGAGGACGAGAAATCAATAGCCCATGCAATCAAGCAAACACGATCTCTGCCTGAGGCTCAGTTCAGCTGAGTGCACATCGATCCTTCGATGCGTCTTCGATGCTTCTCAGCCTTCTCTCAACCCCAGTCATTTATGCTGCCAGGGTTCGCGTTCAGGCTATCAAATCCCCTGTGGTTGTTCCCAGCAATGCAGCACATAGTCCAGTCGGGTTCACAAGTGCCGGACTTCTCAGCCAGCCAGACAACGTGCTCGTGGCTTGCGGATAGTCCATAAGTCGTTCCTATTATGAGGCGGCTTGCATGAGCAACGCCTTTGTTCGCATCTTACCTGCGTATGGAGCCTCGTGATCATTGATGCCTAATGTTGCCTCATCTCCCTTTTAACTTTGGTCGCTCTTTGCTTTCTCATCGTCTCAACCCCCTCCTTTATGGCTGTATACAGGCGGGTTGGCTGTTTGCCTCGGGATGCGAGGTCAGACCTCACCCTCACGAAACTCACCTCTGGCGAATCTAGTACCGCTCCAGGACTCCATTCTTGCTTACAGATACCGTTATTGGCCGCGACAAGCATCCGTGGTACTTGCTGGAGCAGTTTGCAGACGGCCACACGGCTGCCATCTGACCTGTGTGCCAACTGCTGGGTGATAAAAGGCATCAGCTTGAGAAGCGAAGCCACCAATGGATATCTGCCGAGGCTTGGGGCAAGCCATAATCACGAAAAACAATTGTTGTACAGATATCGTGCGATTGATACAGAGTGCCCTTGGGTCTACCATCGCTAGGGCAGGTCCACTGCGGTGGCAATGGTAGGGGTTGTTGCTGCGGAACTATCAGCCGCAGGAATTTTAATTCGAGGTTTGCTTCAATCTCACTTGAACCTGTCCCTTGCCGGCTTTTTTGCCCGTTCCTTTTTTCTTTTTCTTCTTTTCTTTTTTTTTTTTTTTTTCGCACATGTGTGTGCTGTGATTTTCTCTTTGAGCCTTTCAACCTCTCTGAGCCGCCGAAGCTTCTACCGTCATCGGCCGGCTCACCATAGATAACCTTTCACAGTTAAACGGTGTAGTCTCTCGCCTTAATTGAAGCTTTAGAGCATGGTATATACACATGAGCATCGAATGATTTTTTTATTTTCTCAGTTCACACCATGCCTGTCCCTGTGTATCACATCATTATCACCTTCTCATTTTGCTTCCTTTTCCATTTGAGCGGATTTTTGCATTTGCCTTTCACTTTACTCTCGGTCCGAACCGATACCAGTGCGCCACTGCCGTGCAAATTATGCAACAAATCGGCGCGCACAACTGTGAAAAACAAGGAGCAGAAATAAGATAATGCCCTTGTATTGTGCTTCGTGAACTGGCTCCCAGTATCTTCTACGGCTGGCGTCAATACCGTTACACATGGATGATACGAAGTATTTCAGACGATTATTGGTTTTACCAAGATTGGCCATATTGGCGACGGGTCACTAAGTCGAGGCATCACCAATGAGCGTGTTCACGGCGGACTTTGTCTGTTGCTTGGATTCCACCTGTTTCCACTGTGACTCAGTCCCGGTCGTCTAACTAAAAATAGGACTATTTTTTTTTCCTCCATGGAAACGGCCGTCGGCCAAGTATCCACATGGTTCGGTGCATGTTTTTTTTCTAGAATTGTTCGACAACTAGCGCGCACAGCGCACACAAACGCGGGAAACTGGGAACTGGCTGCGACCAGCGGCGGTGCAGGGTTACAGGGCTCTGGATGTCTCAGTGCCGTGGTCCCGGACAATCCCAGTAGTATGTCATTGTTTTTTATGACTAGGATCAAGGCAAGAAGGCTGTGGGACAACACGCTGGGTAATGCATGTGCAGTACCCAATGGGGATAACACTACTCCGTAGTAGGGGCACATCCAGCCATCAGATTATCAGATTGGAATCTTGTCTGCGCTACGGTGCTGCGCCGCATCCTGGGGGAACACAGTACCGTTCCATCGCCTTTCTGGCGCATTGGCAGGCAACGGCCGCCTCGCGGATGATTGCATACGGCTAACGTCACAGAAAAAACCACTGTTAAAACGTGTACTGAGAGGCCATACACGGTTGGCTTAAACAAAGGAGCTAATTCCTTGCGATTACCTCGGTGGGGGGAGGCAGCCAACGATGTTAGTCGATATGGGATGAGGCTTAGGTCCCCAACACGGCACGATAGGAATTATCCCTGGTTGCTACAGGATAAGCGTCAAACAATGAATGGCTTCCCCGGCTACCAGACTTCCGGAACTGGGCTCATTTCTTTTCCCTCTTTTTCCCCCTCTTGCCTTGTTATTTGACCCCCATTATTTGCCTTACGACGTTTGGCTGCCGCTTTTCTCCACTTTTCATTAGATCCGAACTTTGGATCGCAAGGCACCAATTTACACGAGACTGACTAACAGGATGCAACGTATGCTTCATATCAGCTCGCGTAAGTACTACGATTGAATCGATATTGCGAATGGGGTTCTCGCGGATCTGCCAAGGACACCTCGGGTGGTTTGATATGAGCTTTAATCTCAACATATCCACAAGCCGAGGAGAAGAGGGGCCTTACGGCAATAGCCATCTTGACCGGGGTATAAGCAATATGAATTAATTGACTCATGATAAAAGGCCCTCGCGAACCAAGAGCCGCTAGATTGGCAATGGGTATACACGCGAGTCGCATGTCCAGACTGGCAAAGCTTTAGGACTATAGCACCAAAGCGAGGGATAATAGCAGAGCTGGCCCAAAACGGTAGGCTACATATAAACAAGACAGACCAGACCAGAATAAGATAACACACGATCCATGTTCCCTCTCCCCGAATCTTGGGAACACTCGGCCGTCAGACCCACACCAGACGATGGGTACCGGCGACATCCACCTTGCAAACCCTAACTAGCCGACGGGACATGCGTTTTTGACTGAAACGTCCTACCGAACCTAACAGCTCCAACACAGCATTGGGCTCTTCTGTCAACGAGCAGGTATGGCCCCATGCTTGCCCGATGAGGATACGGCACACCTGATCGTCCATATCAAACACTCTTGCCTCCCGTGTGGTTGGGCTGCAAGCTGTATCCGGACCCGCAGGATGGCCTGCCAGACGGGATGGCGGAGCTGCAGACAGGGGCTGGGATCCATGTAACTACTCACGAGGCTTTACATTGCCCCAGTGGTTGCTCTGTCTCTTTTCCTCTTGCGATTCAATCCCTCCGGTGTCATGTTTCTGTTGGGGATTGCAACACGGGGCGAGCCATTAGACTTTGGTATCAGAAGATGAAACAGGGAGTAACTTTTCCATCTTCTTTTGTTGATCAACTTTCGAGATTACGTTGGGTATGATATGTCGAATTTGAACTCGCTTGAGGAATGTCGAAACGTCATATGCCACTCTATCAAAGTTCATTTTGAACTCAAAAAAGACATATTGATCAGAAACGACCAAGTTGCATGCAAGAGACCTGGTACAAGAAAGCAATCAAGCAATCGTACAGAACTAAACCCAGAAACAAAGAAACCCTCCAAAGCATAACCACCATCACTTGTCCCATCGAACCGTAGCTCTCAAAGACTCTCCTCTCCAAGAAACGAGTAGTAATCCGCGCAACCCCCAAAGAAACATGTCTAGACAAACATGTCAAAAATCTCCCCCGCATTCACCCCCAACTCCGATAAACGCAACAACAGAACCTCCACCACCACCACCAAAGAGAACCCTCTATAGACCAATAGACCCCCCACAAAAGATGAACACCACCAAACCAGTCGACGCAGCCTTCACCAAATCCCTCCCCAAGATCGAGGTACGTCCACACAAGACATAACATCGAACAACGACGAAGCTAACCAGCGAAAAGCTCCACGCCCACCTAAGCGGCAGCGTAAGCCGCCAATGTCTGCACGAACTATGGCTCCAGAAGCGCGCCGCAGACCCAACGTTTGACATCCCAGATCCCTGGGTCGTGATGCCCCCGGGCAAGGTGGACTACACACTTGATACGTCTGTCTGCCCCCCTCCTAATGATCGCAATCAACCCACATAGAAACAAATTGAAAAAAAAAAAATGTACAGATTTTCCAACGAAGGAGGGGAATGGATGATTGATACTTGAGATGAGCCATTTAATAGATTCTTCAACACCTTCGGCACATTCACCTACCACCTCCTCACCGACGTATCCTCCATAACCTACGCCACAACCTCCGTGCTGACCAACTTCCACGCCGACGGCATCAAATACCTCGAACTGCGCACCATCCCCCGTCCCAGCCCGCACTTCACCCAAGAAACCTACATAGCAACCATCCTGTCCACCATAACCGCCTTCGCGGAACACCACCCGGACCTAACAGCCCGACTCATCCTCTCCCTCAACCGCGGCGAGCACACCCCGGCTGACGCCGACGCCATCGTCGCCCTAGCCATTGCGCACAAGCCGCTCGTCGTGGGGGTCGACATCGCCGGGAACCCGAGCAAGGGCGATATGGCGACGTTCGGACCCGCGCTGGCGAAGGCCAAAGCGGCCGGGTTGGGCGTCACGGTGCATTTTGCGGAGGTGAAGACGCTGGCGACGGAGGGCGAGCTGGAGACGATCCTGGCGTTTGCGCCGGATCGGTTGGGGCATGCTATCCATGTACCGGCGGAGCTGAGGGCGGAGATTGTTCGTCGCAGGCTGGGGTTGGAGTTGTGTATGAGTTGTAATGTGCATGCGAGGCTTTTTGAGGGCGGGTTTCTCGAGCATCATTTAGGGAGTGGTGGAGGGTGGAGGAGTGTCCGGTTGTGCTTTGTGTGAGTTCTTTTTCTTTTCTTTTCTCTTATGCTTCTGTTGTTGTTGTTGTTGTTGTTGTTGTTGAGGGAGGGGTTTGAGGGGGGTGATGCTAATGGTGTACAGACGGATGACGTGGGCTTCTTTTGTAGTCCTGTGTCGAATGAGTATCTGCTTGCCGCGGAGCATTTCAATCTCACTCGTGTGGATGTTATGGCTATAGCTCGAAGGGCGGTTAGAGTGATCTTTGGAGGCGAGGACGAGAAGAAGCGGCTTTATAGACTGTTAGATGAGTTTGAGGCCAGTTATAGAGAGTGATATGGCGTCTTGATATGGTACATGTCTTACGATGAATGATATTATGAGATGCAGAAGTAACAACTGAACAACAGTTTAATTGCCTAGAAGATAACACTACGTAAAGGGTATCTCGTGTAAACTAGCCCTGCCACCGGAACTTGCCTTGCTTCAAGGTCTGCACGACTCCCAACGGCATGAGCTCCTTACTCACTGCGGTCAAACTGCCATATCTCTTCACCATCTCCCCCTGGTACAATTCCGCTGTCCACTTCCAGTACGGTGGCATTGCGCACCATCGGTTTGAAAGGACTAGGCGGCTGCTGGGGTCCTCCTCCAATGTCATCTGGTTGATGCGAAGCTTTGGTGACTGATTGATCGCCACTTCGGACGGGACGCGAACGAGATCATTGTACGCGTCGCGAAGGTGCCTACTATACGTCTCTGAGTAACGGGCGTACTCTTCCAGTGACATAAAGGCAGTCGGGTCCTCATCGTCACCGAAAACTTCAGCAGAGGCTGGTTCCTCAGGCCCGTCTTTCTCAAATCGTGCTTGGGCGGTGTGATATTCGGTCTCATCCTTGGTGTAGGCCTTTTGGAGGCGGCCGGAAGGCGTTTGCTTGATGTTCTCGCGCATGGCGAGAAGAGGAATGTACGGGTTCGTGAGTTCAAGACCGCCAAATTCAACGGGGAAGTAGAAGAAGCCTTCGGGAAGATCGTGGATATCGAATCGCTCAGCGATCATCTTTCGAAGGTGATCGGTGACGCCGCTGGGGCTATCAGGGAAGATGGTGCGCTCAATACGGCTAAGGGTGGTGATGGCCATATCGATGTGACTCCGTCCGAAGCACATGGCCGGTTTGGCGAAGTTGTTCGCGAAGAAGCGACCGAAGTAGCTATTCCATGCCTGAACGAAGGAGAAGATGCTCTTGCATGCAGAGAGCTGGTGCTGGAGCTCCGAGATGTGGTTGTCCACTTCCTCTTGGTCAATGATGAAGCGGCCCTCCTGAGCGTCAAGCTTCAAAAAGCCCCAGCGGATGTCACCGGTGGGTAGAGCATTCGAGCCCTCGGTTTGCTCAGTCTTTGCGTAGGAAGACAGGTCTTGATACGGCTGTTGGCCGGATTTGTTTTTGTTCTCCAGATGCACTGTCCCGGTCTTCTCCTCGTTAAACGCGAGACCCATCACTTGAGCAAACTCGGTCATAGTATTCCAAGCTTTGACACAAGTCTGCTTCTGACCCCAGAACCAGAAATCATCATGCATGCGATACAAGTACGCACCATTCGTGCTTTGGTTCACTGCATAATCCATGCAGAACAGTACAGCTTCGCCGAAGCAGTCCGAGAGTGTGTGACTTGTGGGAATTCCGCGTCTACGGGTCTGCACCGCGGCTTCTGGTCCATCTTCAGTAAACTTGAGGGGACACTCGAGGAACCTCTTGAAGAAATCGAGCCAGTTCTGCGGTACTCCAAAGTACGCCAGCACAGTGAGCATCGTGGTATGTGGCATAGACGGTCCAAAGTGCTTGAAGTCCGACCGAATAGCTGTGAATTGTCCATGAATCCGGTTCTGCACGATAGACTCCGTAATCAGGAGATGGAGGAGCGAGTGCTTTGTCTCCAGGGCGTTCTTGCGGTTATCTTCCTCAGTATCGTCGGTATCGTTATCGTTATCGTCATCATACCCCCGCCCACCTGCGGTTAAGGAGGAAGGCAATTGAGTCATGAAATAATCGGTTCTGTACGTATCGCGTCTCGCATCGTTCACGGAGCTGACACCTCGCCTATTGTCCTTACCGAGGAAGTGTTGACGCCGTACCCGTTCCGACTTCGAGATAGGCTGACGCAGGCTTTTCCAGGCCCAAGTCCTCTGGAATTGGACAAATGCAGCCCGGAAATTCACCGCCCAATGGAGCCCGAGATACTGGAACAGAAGACTGTCCAGCAAATCCTCGTCCTGGAATACCCGGTACTTGCCATTCAGCTGACGACGCATTTCGAGAGGAAGACCCTCGGACGGCCATTGCCAGCTATCAAGGGCCGCAAGACGCATGTTCAAAACATCCGCCACCTCCTGGGCAACAGCCTTGTTGAGCATAAAATCCTTCAGGATGGCGGACTTTTCCTTGGTGAGAGAGTCGGATTTTAAGAGGGCCTTGCTCACCCATTGAAGCGTGTCAACATCAAACTGGGCCCGTTTCGATGTATATTCATCCCCAAAGCTCTTCATCTTCTGTCGCAGGGTTTTCAACGCTTGCTGAGATTGGTTCGTCTTTGTGAACAGACCGTCAAGGTATTCGTTGATTGTTTTCTCATCTACACTGGCGTCGTTGAACACATACTGCTCCCACGTTGCTCGCTGCTCCTGCATTTCCGCACGTCTTGCAAGCTCGGACTCGGAGCCTTGTTCCTCAGCCTCGGCAGCTGAGTCTCCCTCGGACTCAAGGCCGGTCAGCCACTCTGTGACCAGGTTGCTGTAGAAGGAAGCATGTTCGCGACGGGTGTGCAGGAAATTTAACTCTTCCTCGAGCTGCGCAACCCAATCGCCTAGGCTCCGATCCGATACCGACGGGTCAAACTGACACTGCAGAAGAAAGCGGCGGATATTGATATGGGCAGCCCGGACGGTAGTGTCCTCTACAGCAGCCTCGGGCTCCGACTCTCCAGATTGTGTATCCAGATCCTCTCGGTCGAAAGCATCATTGGGGTAGCCGTTGAGCTTAGTGATTCCTTCCAAGAGGACCCGTGCCTTGGACCGCAGATCGGGTGCGTCTGCGGCTGCTTTAAGAATCCCCTCTCGTTGCTTCTCAAAGAGCGAACGCTGTTTGGAAAGCTCCGCGATTTTGATATCAGTGATGGAGCGAAGGGTTTGCGGAAGAGCCCCAGAGGTAGCCATGATTAGGTCTTTCGGATTAATGATCTGATTGGACGAGAGACGAGGGGTGAGAGGATGTAGGTAGCTAAGTAGTGGAGTTGGAGTACCTGAGATGATCAACTTTCGGATCAGGTACCAACAGAATCAACAATGGTGTGATGTGTTGATTTCCCGTTCAGAGTCCAGGAGAGATCCGAACTCGATGGACAAGGAAAGACAAGGAAAGATGAAAGTCAAAAAAATTCGGCTGGTGAAATTCTGATTTATATATGTCTGCTAAAGGGAGTAAGTAAATTACTTTCGCCCCTCTGGTGGAGATGGAGTGGATCGCTGACTTTTGCCGATGTAGATCGTTTTGGGATCTCAAGATCCCACTCGCGGCGGAGCAGCATTGTCGGGCTCCCGAAATGGAAGGACAGCTCAGCTCAGCTGAGCCACGTCGTCACTCCACGAGTGATCAATGTGTCATGCAATTCAGTCAATTTCCGACTGGATTCAGGTGTAGAGTACAGAGCTGATATTATGCTCTACTATCGTATCAACAACTTCACCCCAATTTTTCATACTCAATCCAACATTCGTCATACTGCATTTCCAAGAAACTCTTGCCCCGAAGCTCTCCTACGCTCACAAACCTCCAGCGTCGGATGATGGCCATGACCGCCTTTGCAAGGACCAGCCAGGCCAAGTCTTTACCAACGCAGCTTCGCGACCCTTTACCGAAAGCCACCAGTTTGGCATCCATCTCCCGACGTTGTGACTCGTCCCCTAGCCATCGCTGCGGAAGCCATTGGTCTGCATCGTCACCCCATATTCTACGCGACCGGCCTAAAACATAGGTATTTGCCGACACAGTGGTACCGCTGGGGAGTGGGGCTGGTAGGCTGGAGACTACACTTTCGGCACCGGGTCTGATGACTCGGGGAAAGGCCGTAGGGAAAGAGGCGCAATGACGCAAAGTCTCTTTAACAACCGCTTGAAGCTCTAAAGAGAATGGAGGCGCGTCGAGATCAGCCTCTTTTCGTAGTTTCCCCTGCCAGAGGAGGCCTTCCTGCGTTCCTAGTTGGTAGACCATGGCTGTTAGAGCTGCAGCTACGCTGCCCGGTCCGGCAAACACCAGGTTGACTGCCTCCGAATACACTTCATCTTGAGTCATACGACTAGAATCATCAAGAGGGACCTCTAACCAACTTGTCACGATTCCGGCTGTGCAGGTAGGCTAACCTGTTTGGGACGCCGAAAGATCATCGTGTGGCTCGAAGCCATGAGCGCCATAATATCTGTGGGACCGCCCTGTTTGCTGGTGGACAGGTTGCGTAACAATGTACCAATGAAGCGACTATTCATGATCCAGCCGTACGATGGGCATAGCGAGAAGCTCCACGCCATCTTGGTCAACTTGCGCATGGTTGAACACATAGTGGCCCCGATCGCAGAGTCGGTATACGGATGCGAGATACTGTCGGGGCCATAGATGAGCTCTAGCATGACATCCATCGTAAATCGATGAGCCAGCGGTGCCAGGTTCACCACGGTCTTCTCGCCACCTTGTCCTGACAAGGACTCGGCCTCTGTTCGCGTAAAGAAGAGGTCCACATGCTTGGTTATAATGGATTCATATCTGGTTATCTTTGCGCTCGTCAAGGCCGGCCCAACTACCTTACGTTTCCTCTGACGATGAGCTGCATCGGTTTCAAGAGCGAATACGCTCGGCACGCGATTGTCGGGAGGGCCACCAAACACGTAGAAGTCGTCTTTTTCGACGGATTTATTAAACCCGTAGATCGCCTCAAAGGCTCGTAGGTCGTCGAATGAGAGCCAATTTGGCGCTACGCGGACAACATGGCCATATTTATCATGCAGATGTTGCTCTGAAAGATGATGTTGACCACCAAAAAAGTGAACAGTCTCCTTTATGTAGATCGGTTAGTTCGCTTGGCAATCCGTATAGACAAATGGGGTGGATCTTAGCTCAATGAAGGCTAGATTTAGGACGAACCAGAGATTGGTAAATCGAGCCAAGAATGGCCCGGGGTAGCGCGCAAGCGGGTGGAAATAACACTGGTAGATAACATGGGCCACAAGGGCGGCGAGGGCAACCTGAGCGACGACAAAAACCGTACTCGAGACCATGGTAAATATCGTGATGAAGGTGTAACAATCACAGTTGGATACACCAGGATGAGTTCGTCAGCTTCAGTTTGTACCCCACGTCACATGTAGGGGATGCACGTGTCTCGTATTAAATGGCTGTGCGTTGATAAATTGGTTGCCTGAACATACTTCAGAATACAACCCCTCTCGAATATCTTGATCATGATCGATGTACTTCGTATTGTCTCCCACAAAATCCCGAATTGTGTCGAGATAGAAAACTAATTAAAGAGTCCAGATGACATGTCCAGCTACCCGGTTGATCGCCATGATATACAAAATATATGTATATATATAGAGTTTATCAAAGGTACCTGGGTGAAATGACACCAAGGGGGCACGGGTCAAGTCGCATACGAAATGAGAATAGTCTACTCCGGCGTATGTCAAGAGCAACAGAAGGCATACGCAACCCCAGGTGAACAAATGTGAGAGGTAACAAATCCCCTCACTCCGTCCGGGTTAAGCCGTATATTCAAGGTTCAAGTCACATTGTCCGTCTATGAAACCGATGGACGACGCCAACTACGATCCGAGCGATGTGCTTTGACCCCAAGACATCGCAATAGTTGCATTGAATGAAGTAACTATTGCAACGAGCTGGTCCAGAGCAACTCTCTCCAAATCGAGCGAGCAACCATTGGCGGGGTTCATGAGGCGAGGCAATGAGCTTAAGAGAGGTACGATGTGGAGACATGAGTTCGACCTGCATACGCCGTAACCCATCGCTGACAACGATAAGGGGTTGCCATTGCGATCTGGGAGCATCGCAGCATTCCATTCACCGGGCGACAACAGGAAAAGAATTCCGGAGGATGAATTGCTTCCAATCTGCAGAGCAGTGCAAATAGGTAAGCGAGCATGAAATCATATTGTGAGAGGATTGTTCATTGAGAGAATTCACATTCAAAGCGCTGAAGAAGGGAAGGAAGGAAGCGACTAGTGTTGATAGTCGGCGCCAAAGCTGGAAGATCGTTCACACCCCAATGGTCGATCTCCACCCTCATTGGTTGTGATAGGTGGGGCCCACCCACTTAGGGGACTTTTGTTCCCATTGAAAGGATCCGGCCAGGTCGGGTACGGCTGAGCAGTCCCGCCGAACAATCCCCTCTCTCCTGCTTTATCACATTCAGACCCCAAGTGCCAAATCCATGACAGCAGCTTCGTCTCCTTAAATATCCCCCCCAAGGTGTCGTCTCGTGCCTAGTCAAGACGCAAAAGTAAACAACAAAGAACAACGTGTTGAATGATGATTGCCCTTGCGTAGGATTCATTCGGCGCCTACACTTCTAGTACTATAGCATCCCACACACTCTCACTCACACACATACACACCCCAATCAATCAAACTTTGCCCCGTCCATCAACACATTCAAGATGGGTATGGAATTTGTCTTTATAAATGTCAAGGAGCCGAAGGATGCTCTTCAGCTCGCGAAGGAGCCCGAAATCCGATCTCACGTGGCTCGGTACCAGTGGAAGCAAGTCGAGAATCGCCCATCTCTCAAGCGAAAGAGAAATACGGTGGTATCAGTCTGCATGAGCATAGACTGTTGCTCAACCTGGCAATCACGAAGCAATTATAAGGACGACTCTCCTGACAGTACGTCCTCCACCTCCACCGTCTCCATTCCTCTGCAGTTGGGGGGACTGCGAGACGACCCTTTTCGGTCCTATCCGGTCGGGTTCAAGTCGTTCATGCCGGTATTCGTGGATCACTGTAAGTGCGGAATTAGCGTCACCATCCATAGCAAGTAGAGCCGTACTGATGGAATATTATAAGACCTGGTGCATATGGCCGTGGACATCCCGGAGCTCGATCAACCCGGGAACAAGGGCCTTCTGAGAACCAGCTGGTTCCCTTTGGTGATGACCGAGCCCTCCCTGTTCCTAGTCATCATGCTGCTCGCAGCATCCCATTATGCATCTGTGAGCGAGCATGCCGCAGATATGAAAGTGGACCTCCTCACCCTTCGTTGTGAAGCCATCCAAGCGATCAACGATGCCTTGAAGTATCAACCACCGGACCGGGTCAGTGACGCGCTGGTAGGCGCGATAGCGAAGATGGGAAGTTATGAAGCGATGTACGGGAACATGGCAAGTTATAGCGTGCACATGAGAGGACTGACCCGGGCGGTCGGGTTACGAGGCGGTCTATCCGCGCTCGGTCTGAACGGATTACTCCGACGGATCGTGGTCTGGATCGACCGCAATGCTGCCTTCCTGCATGGATCGGCGCTCTATTACCCTGGCGCGACCTTTGTGCCGGGTCAAGCTCTCCCTGAGCCCAATCCTGGTCATTTTCTTGCATCTTCGTGATCGAGCGCAATGCCCGGGATTGCTTTTTTGTATTTATGTATGTAATATTAGTAGCGTGGGATCGGGAGTTAATATATTTGGGAGTGTTTCATTCTGCCAGCTGTCTTTTCTTTTCTCGTCATTTTCCCCCCTCCCGAGAACGACCACAACGTGACGTCCTGTCTGAATCGGGATATCACACGCGGACCACACCCTATCCGGTTAAACTTCCAGATCAATCATATTGTCATCCGAAGCGCAAATTCTCCCATTGGAGCCCCAGATCTAAAATGACAACCATGACAGCAGACACAGATGGGCAATGTCCCAAATCGGACATCACAATTCCCAACCCGTGCGATCGTCCAGACCCGCCACCAACCATGGAAACCCAAAAGTGGAGTCCCCCCGCTTGCCGTTTCCGGATAACACATACTTAACTCAATTCAACTCATACCGAACATGACAGAAACCCATTGAAGAAACAAAGAGATTGATTCATGGAATTCCGGGAATGGTAGTTCCAGAAAGCATGGAAGACTGGGTAGAGGACGACATCATCATGGCTCCACGGATCATTATAAAAGGACCGGGGTTCTGACACGTCGGACTCTTCCCCCTTCTTCATTCAAAGATCGCTTGCGAAGTATAACAC